CCTCAATTAGGTCGCCCCTTGCCCGTCTGTAATATAAGCTAGACAAGTTCAGGCGCTCCAATCTCTGAGGGTAGTTGAGATGCCGAAGTGCAGGCACCAGTCTGGTGGCCTTCCTTTGAATATTTTCAACCAATTGACAGTCACTAGCATATCTCGGGGACCAGACGGGGTGACAGTACTCCAGATGGGGAAGCACTTCACTCTTGAAGATCGTCTCAAGGGACGGACTGTCTAGATATCTGAACGACCTTCTTATAAGATCCAATAATTTATTTGCCTGAATTACCTTTTTCTCGCAATGGCCCGAGAACTTCAGCTCATTGTCAACATACACACCTAGGTCCTTCTCACATTCAGTCTCAAATAGTACAGTTTCTTTATCCTGTTGGGACATATGATATGCCTCCTTACTGTTGGTACGCCCCAGGTGCATCCTCTTACACTTCGTGACATTGAACCTCGGCAGCCATTTCTTCGACCAATCTTGGAGCTCACAGAGATCCTTCTGCAGCTCTTCACAGTCTGCATGGTTCTTGATTTCCCGAAATAACTTGGCGTAATCGACAAACATTTGTATGGAGGAGTGTACAACATCAGGCATGTCATTTATGAAACAAACAAAACGACAGCAGGCCCAATACACTGCCCTGTGGTACCCCGCTTGTGACAGGTATGGATGATGATTTCGTGCCATTAATCTATGAACCAATCGGCAATTAGTACAGAAGAGGGGCATGGCTTACTGGTCAGGTTAGCGTGGAAATACTATAGTTTTATCATGTTTTTCATAATAGTACCAACAAAAATAATTTCTTTAACCTAACTCCATTTCAGATAAACTCATATGCAAGTGCTACCAAAACTGGTTGGGTTTAGCCAGGTAACACCTCAGGCAACACCTGACTAAGGTTGCTAAAATTAATTAAAAGACTTTTATATTTACAACCTATTCCACTAGAGCGAGCAACCATTGCCCTCGAAAGAGGGAGATTAGAAGCCATGGCTGACTGAGAAATAGGAGTCTTGATGAGCTTTGGTTCGTGCAACTGACTGTGCAACCCACATTCAAACTAACTCTGCTGCAAACCTTTTTGAGGCAATATTGCTTGTCTTTTTATTAATTTTCTTGATAGAAGCTAATTTGACATCATATTTTTTAGCACAGGTATGTGCATTAGATTATTGGGCAGGTACTGTGCAGTTTCTGTTTGTTCAATAAGTTCCTGCCATTCCATCCGAGTATGGGTTATTTCCAGTTCAATGTGCTTTTTGTGTTAATAGTAGTCCCAAAGTCTTCATCAAGCTGATCAATCTGTTCACAACTCTTACTCTAAAGAAGTTCTCTGGCAGTTTTTTTGTAATTATAGCTTCTGTAACCCTTTGTAGGCATATCCCACAAAGATGTGGTGTGGAGGGTAGCACTGTACCAGACATATCCCACAGCTATTGGACGCATTTCTTGTGGGCTCAATTTAAATTTACTCTGCTTTGTTTTTGCTCAGCATCTTTGTGGTGATTTCTGGCAACTGCTCTGAGGCAGTGAAGGCCTTTTGCCCATTAGTAATGGATGGATATACTGCATCTGCTTGTGTGTGGCACCCCATACAGGAGAAAATGATACCATTATATATGATTCTAGTGAGCATGTTGGTTTGATTCCCGGGTGCTCCCAGTTAACCCAGTTGTAAATGGGTACCCAAGTTTACAACTTGGGGAAGTGATGTCTATGGGACCCACCTTCACTTAAATAAATGATTATGGAGACAAAAATTACCCTCATGCATAGTGACAGCGATATAAGTGAAGATGGTGATTTTCCTCAAGATTTAACTAGTGAATCTTAGGGGATGAAAAATATGCTGGTGGTGTGCTAGTTTATCTTCCATGAGTCTTGTGTCCACCCATGAGGCTCCCACACGGGATGGGAGTGACACTTTGTTCCTCCTGAACTTTAATGGTATAGATTAGGAGGTTATGGTAAGATTAAAATATTTTATTATTTTTTTATTATTTTCCCGTCCAGTGGGTAAAGACCACGAGTTACCGTCACCTTTCTCAAAAGGTTAAATTGAGGATGTGACCTCTTGTGGTGTGACCGGCCACTAGATCTAAATATGATCATTTGACTGAGAAATGTCCTTTGAGGTTCTTATAAATACGTATCTTGTTAGATCACTCCTTGCCTATCTACTGTATAGTATAAACTAGGCAGTTAAAGGCATTCTAAACTTTCTTTGTACAAGAGGTCCTCCTTTGGGCATTCTCAATCAACTGGCCATCTTTGATATATCTCAGAAACCAAATAGATTGGCAATATTCGAAGTGGGGGAGCACCACATTATTGAAAAGCCTTATGATGGATGTGTATGAACTTAAAACAAACATTTGTTGATTGGGGACCCCTCCCTCCTGGTGGTTACATTTTTACTTGTGTACAAAGAAATGTATATTCCCTTTGTGTTTGGTCTTAGGACAATTATTTCTTTTACCTGTAATGTATATATATGTGTGTGTGTAGACACACAGACACACACAAAACACATACATATAAATAATAATGGGAAAATCCTCTCACAAATTATTAGAAACAAGACAACAAAATGTATTAAAAATGTGAGAGTCTACCCTCAAGTCAACTCTGGGATTTGTTATTAAAGCATGGAGTCGACTGGAGGGTCGACTCTCACATTTTTAATACACTTTGTTATCTTGTTTCTGATTATTTGTGAGAGGATTTTCCCATTGTTATTTATTTGTGTGTGTGTGTGTGTGTGTGTGTGTGTGTGTGTGTCTACACACACCCACACACATATACAATACAGGTAAAGAAATTACTGTCTTTAGAATGAATGGCTCCCTGTCCCGGTCGCAAAAATGCCAGGAACTTTAAAACTACCCTTAGACATTCTTGGGTACATCCAGGGTGTCCTCTGCAAATTAAAAATCGTGAATTGTCAGGGCATGCTGTACTTTGTTTGCCTGATATATCTTCTCACTATGATCTGAGAACTTTAGTTCGTTGTCAACATAAACACCAGCATCCTTTTCATGTTTGATTCCAATTAATGATGTTTCCTCATACGGTTGGGACATGATATGCCTTTCTGCTATTGGTATGACCGAGGTAGATTCTCATGCATGTTGTAATGTTGAATCTTAGCAGCCAGTCCTTTGATCACCCCTGAAGCTGATAGAGATCTTCATGTAACTCTTCCCTGTCTGTTCTGTTCTTAATTTTCCTGAATAGCTGAGTGTTGTCTGTAAACATTTCTGTGGAAGACTGAATAAACAAACAACAGTACTCCAAGTTCATATTGCCCCGTGGCACCCCACTTGTCATGGGTACACTTGTTGATTTTGTGCCATTAATCACCATGAACTGTTTGCAGTCATTAAGAAGTTTCCGATCCACTCGAAATCCATACTGCTACAGTTTAATTTTCAGCCTTTCATGAGATATGCTATCATATGCCTTAGCAAAGTCAAGGTATGTATTGTCAACATACCAACATGCTCCAGGATCTGTGTCCACATGTACAGCACCTGAAGCAGTTGCATGTCCGGGTATGGGTTGTGCTGTAAGCTTCATGATTCAGTGACTCATCAGGCTCACAGTCTTAACTTCCAATGCCTCTCCTTTGAGGGTGATGGTTGCTGTGAAGGCGTAGATTCATATTTGAATTAACCTTGACTGCCTTATCTTAGGGATACCTTAGTTAAACCCACCGGTCTTTGGCAGTATACAGTTCGTATATATACAAATCTTTCCTTTAATGGCTCGATTATAAAATGGATTTTCAGGATCAGTCCTGTTTATCTTTAATGTTATCCTTTTCTTGGACCGACTTTTAAGGAAACAAAGTTTACTTTAAGAAAAGCAACAAAAGTTTCAGTTGTTTTTGTATACATAATGTAAGATTTAAATTATCATAGTACTGTATCATTATTTTTTTTACAAGTTATGAACCAATAGTTGCAGGGTAGCTTCCAGGTTAAAATTTTAAAACATGCCTCCTTAGCCTGCCCTAATTGTGTTATTCATCACTATGAGACCTTTTGTTTATAAACTTTTCCCACATTTCCTTCTTCACTATATTGAACACTTTATTTTCTTATCCTATGTTTCAGGTACAGTAGTATCCAACATTTCTTTCCAATGGGGACTTAGGCTGTCAAGGCATTACTCTTACCTCAGACTGTGTTACTACATTCAGAGCTGTGACTTCCTGTCACCCCACATATTTTCTGCCCTGATTAATACATATTAAATAATGACTTATTTAAACCTAATCTACCTTATTCAGAATAATACACGCATATACTGTACCTTTATCATGTACATCCCATTACAAATTAATTCTATGAACTTTGCTCATGATACTGCATTATACCTTGCAATACATTAGGACACTGAACAACATATTACATGTGAATATCTTCATGAGCAAATAGTATTTCCTTATAATCTTTATTCAAGTTATTATTTGCTTATTTACTGAAATTATTATTAAATGCTGTACTACAATCAGGCAGTTGTTTAGTAATGAAGTCTCTATTGCCCTCTAATGCATTCAGAATTAGCTTTCGTTGCACAATGCAGCTACTCCAATACAGTATATAAATTTATGTATTGCTTTCTCATTACTGCTTTTTGTATGATTTGTTTTTTGAAGACCCTAAGAGAGCCTATTCAGTATCTTCTTCTTTTCTGCATATTTTCAACGGCATCTACAAAAATTAAAAACTGGTCCTTTATCCATTCCCTCTAATTGGTGTAACAGACAGTGACAAAGAAAGATGCATCGCATGTTTTTACTAATTAGTGCTTATGTTTATCCTGTTTTTTTGTAAAGACTAAGAGGTTCAGTAATACTCCCAGAAATATGAAAACAAAGATTGAAGTAAATTTTGCTGTTGAAGACTTGGAAACTGAAACTTTCTGTTGTTGGATTATAGCTTGTATAATAATGCTTAGTATTGTACCATATGTGATGTTACAGTGCATATGAAATCATCAAACTGAAGGGCTACACCTCTTGGGCTATTGGTCTCTCCGTTGCTTCCCTTGTTTCATCTGTTTTGAAGAACATACGCTCCTGTTATGCTGTCTCCATTGCTGTTCAAGTAAGTGTGACATAATTCTTAGAGATTAGAACTTTTAGTGAAACATCTTCTTTTACATATACAGTAAATAGACTTTTTGGCTGCTACTTGCAGCGCATATGAAGTGATCAGGCTGAAGGGTTACACATCGTGGGCCATCGGAACTTCATGCGCTATCCTTGCCAGGTCAATACTATCAAACGAGAGAAGTATTTATGCTGTAACCACAACTATTAAGGTATCAAAGATGGCTCCAAGCAAGTGATAGGATATCCTTACCAAGCAACAATTGTTACATACCATTACCCTTATTTTGGAATAAATATCCCAAGACTTTGGTTATGAATATCGGAGAATAATTCACGAAGTAATCTTTTTCTATTTATCTTTAAACATTATCCTTGAAATGTGAAAAATTATAATAATAATGATGTGAGGCTGGAGTTCTATTCTATCAAAAATTATGTTAGAACACTAATGAATTATAATTTTTATTCTTGTACTGTTTAAGAAGTCAAGGCAATGCCAAAAATGTATGCAACTAATAAGAAAAATGCATTCATAAAAGCTGTCCCCAGATTAAAAAAAAACAAACAGTGGACCAGGTGATGTGCTTCCGATTAAAAAAAAAAATATATATATATATATATATATATATATATATATATATATATATATATATATATATATATATATATATATATATATATATATATATATATATATATATATATATATATATATATATATATATATATATATATATATATATATATATATATATATATATATATATATATATATATATATATATATATATATATATATATATTATATATATATACACACAGTATTACCCCGCTTAACGTGGTTTCGCTTAGCGCGTTTTACCATATACGCGGTGCCTCGCCAGAACCAAACTTTCACTTAACGCGGGTTTTTTCGGTTTTTTTTTTCCACATATACGCTGTGAGTGTCCGGCTCGAAGCTATTTTTAGATTCGCCCGACCCGCCACCCTGCCTGACTGCCTGTTTTAGCTCATAAAATTCATACAAATTACCCGGCCAGAATATAATTTACATTGCTGGAATTCTTACAATATCATGATCATTTTGAATATAAACATCATAGATTTTGCATTAGACATACAAATTTTAGATATAATGTTTACTCTGAGTAAATATGTTATTTTTTGTACAAAATATATGACATTTGTATTCAAAATATTCCTGGGCTTACAAGGAATCCAGCAATGTCAATTATATTATCCTAACTTTAGTTTGAGGTATTATTTATTACTAAAAAGGTAAATATTCTGGTTTTCCCACATCTGGTAGGGAAGGTTGGTGGGGGGGAGGGAGGGACCGACTGACCATCTGTTACCGTGTGAAGAATATATTTTTTTTTTATTAACTTGAAGATATTTGTTTTAGCTCATAAAATTCATACAAATTACCCGGTCAGAATATAATTTACATTGCTGGAATTCTTATAATTTGATGATCATTTTGAATATAAACATCATAGATTTTGCATTAGACATACAAATTTTAGATGTAATGTTTACTCTGAGAAAATATATTATCTTTTGTGCAAAATATATGACATTTATATTCAAAATATTCCTTGTCTTACAAGGAATCCAGCAATGTCAATTATATTATCCTAACTTTAATCTGAGGTATTATTTAATACTAAATGTTAAAATTTAGTTTTTCACCCAACATCTCTTGAAGGGAGGATTGGTGGGGGGTGGGGGTGGAGGGTTGGGACTGACCGCACGGTTGGAAGAGGGGGGAGGCAAGGTGGGGTACTTTGATTGACAGATAGTGTCGTGAAGAATATTTTTTTTTTTTATTAACTGAAGATATTTGTTTTAGCTCATAAAATTCATATAAATTACCCGGCCAGAATATAATTTACATTGCTGGAATTCTTACAATTTGGTGATCATTTTGAATATATACATCATAGATTTTGCATTAGACATACAAATTTTAGATATAATGTTTACTCTGAGTAAATATGTTATCTTTTGTGCAAAATATATGACATTTATATTCAAAATATTCCTGGTCTTACAAGGAATCCAGCAATGTCAATTGTATTATCCTAACTTTAGTTTGAGGTATTATTTATTAAAATTTACTGGTTTTCCCCCCAAAATTTCTCAGAGAGGGATGAGCCAGCAGTGTTATGTGAGAAGAGGGGGAGGGAGTTGAGTCCATTATTTGAATGGACATTAACTTGGCAACTGTATTTCTCTATTTCTTTTAAGTATTAATTGTGTGCATGTACCATCATAAAATTAAGATGTTATTTTTACTAGAACATAGGTATTGTGTCGGAAAACGTGGAGTTTGGGGGTCGGGCCAGTTTCTGTTGGAATTAATCCCATATGTTCTGTTGTTCACTTAGCGCGGTTTTCACTTAACACGGTACTCTGTGGGTTTTATTGACCGCGTTAAGTGGGGTACTACTGTATATATATATACCTGTATATATATATATATATATATATATACCTGTATATATATATAATAATAATATATAATATATATATGTATATATATGTATGTATATATATATATATATATATATATATATATATATATATATATACATATATATATATATATATATATATATATATATATATATATATATATATATATATATATATATATATATATATATATATATATATATATATATATATATATATATATATATATATATATATATATATATATATATATTGAGTCATTACCTAATACCTGACCATTGTGGACCTGGTCTCACCCTCCTCTGTATATATACACCTTGTTTTGTACTCCTCTTTAGTCTGTACTCACCCCTGAAGATGTGAATTACACGAAAGCGCTTGGGCACTTCGTGTTTTCTTCTTTCCTTGTAGTTATCAGCATGCATATATATATATATATATATATATATATATATATATATATATATATATATATATATATATATATATATATATATATATATATGTATTACTACTTAAATGTTTTGGAGGACAAATTTACAACAAAAAGTTGTGACAACATCCTTACCAAAACACACTCAAACACTACTAAAGAATTAGAAGACAAAATGTGTCATTAAAAATCCAAAATACAGGGTACCAGCTTAAATAGAAATATGAGTTTGGAAATGCCACAAAAATATTGATCGATAATGTCTACTGTGTTGAAGAAGCCACAAGTTCAGAAAACAGTGAGGGCAGATGTTTTCAGTGAAAATGAAAATTATGAACTCTTGGAACAACCTGCAAGAGAGTGTTGACGGCACCGAGTGCAAGCTCTTTCAAGACCAGACTTGACCAACACTGGAGCAGGTTTACATGCATTCAGTTGTCAGAGCATGCCCAGTACTTGCCAACAGTGCCTAACAGAGACACGACCGACCGCCCAAGTGGCTAATGAGATGATGAGTGGTGAAGAGAATAAAAGTAAAATTAGTAAGAGTCCCTAAGGAGTCCTACCAATATACCTTCACAGTTGGTTTAATGCTCAGCTGTAAATACATATCTCAATCCCCAGAACTGTGCCTGAACTGCAGATACTAATTTAAATGAAATCCCCTGTTCCTGACTAACAAAAAGGAGTTCATTATTTTACAGGAGGAGAGGGGAGGTTATTCTGACCCACAACCAGGACTAGAGTACAGTCAAAGTGGGTCCCATAGGCATGACTGTCCATTAGGGAAAGTGAGGATACAGCACACTTTACACTAAGTCGTAAACTAGGAGACAGCATAGCTGGTACTGCACTCGACTGCATTCACTTCCCTAAGTTGTAAAATTAGATGCCTATTTACAGCTGGGTAAACCGAGAGCGCCTGGAGATCAAACCACTGACCCCCAGAACAGGAGGCAAGCAAGAACTGTGTTGTATAGTACGTGTAAATAATTCTATCCTAAATCCATCAAGCTCTTAAGATCTTCTATCAGTAATGGAAGTGGCCTCCAAGTCCAATTTTTTAAGATAAGGCTGAGGAACCGTTATTAAACGTTGATTCTAAAAGCACCACTGCATACGTGTGACATGAAATGACAACTAGGTAGTCACCTGCAAAGCATAAATTGATGGAGGTATTACTATACCCTGGGCACCCCAGATTATGGTATAGTTTCTGTCTGCTTTGTTGTTGGAACATCACCCCACAACAAGAGCCACTGTCCTAGAATTACCTCTGTTTTCTTCAAAATGGTCACTTATAGGAGGAATGGTATTCTGAAATCTTTCGTTAGATTACTTTTGAACTGAGGCAAAGGATAGTTCACTCAAGGTCTTTTTTCTGAAATCTCATTTTATCCAATCCTTTTCCATAGTCATCTTATCCAATTGTTCCTGTCCAAATAAATAAAGTAAGAATGTGTACTGTATACAGTACCGGTAATTATCCAATATATTACTGGTAATATATCCATGGAAAACACCCCAGGAATTTTCATTTTTGGTGCTATTTCCCTCCTTGCCTGGACCCTAACCTTACTACAGTAAAATGTTAATGAAATGTGAAGATACCCATATGAACCAACTATCAACTTCATAAGAATTTTTAGATGTACAATAGACTCATCTAGGAAAAGGTCTCCTCAAGTCGGTGAAGAGAAAATGACAGGGCACAGCCTTCCTTACAGGGACTCTTGAAATCTGATTATCCACTTTTGTACGGGATACCCTTTGAGCTGAATAAAATAATTTGGCGTTAGCCAAATAGAATATTAAAAGTGGCATCTCCATAGTGAAGTGGTTAAGAGGTGGAAGCTGTTATCAGTGCTAAGAATGGAATTTCCCTGCTAAGGGAATTGAAAAAGGCATAACAGAACCTGCCATTAATGGAGGGGGTAAAGAATTTAAGAAAGATGCATTCTATATAATTTTAAATAACAAACATAAAAGAAGAACAAAATAGAAATGTCATAACATCCAATTCTCATTAGTAGTATTCTGAAATACAGTATTTCACACATAAGATCCAAGAGTACTTTCCA